CAGCGGTGGGGCGCTCAGGAACAATCCCCCTAGGAGCGCGAAATCCCATAGGACTTCTGACGAGCCCAGACAAGCGTCAGAAGTCCCACACGAGGGGCCATGCCATGTGACCAAGCCTATGGCCAGTCATGTGACCAAGCTAACTCTGTGACACGCGAATAGAATTGTAAACCCAGACCAAAGATCACAATGAGATTACGCGAAGTTTACGGCACAGGCGTCAGCCACCGGTGCTTTAAAAATTACGTAAATCGACCACCTGCGCAGTGAGACAGGCGTTCTCCTCTCATACAGCCACCTGGAGCTGACATCAGTTTCTCACTTTCTCACCAGCGCCATACAGTCATTCTATATTTCTTCATTTCGTGTCGTCTTTGTCTCCTGGTAGAAGGATTCGACTTATTAAAGCTTCCCTCGTGTCAAGATTCGGCAATCTTGCGGTGCCCCTACAGACGAACGACATCATGATCGCCGGCTCCTACGGGGAGGCGCAGTATCACTCCGCATGGAAATCTTTTCTCGCGTTGCAGCGACTGCAGGTAACCTAAAAGTCCTGGCCACTTCATCGTCTCCCTACGCCTCCCTTTCTGAATGCTCCTGATGAGGCCTTGCATCCCCAGCCTTTATCGCGCGGCTCTGCCTTACGATCATGCAGTTACTTAGTGTCCTATACTTTCAAGGTTGAACGCTAACTAATTGTCTTGCCCTGAGTGCAGGGATCCATCATCCTTCTGCCTGCTCCTCTGTCCCCACTAACTTAAGCGTCTCTTCACTGTAAGGCAGTCATGTGAAGGCTGCGGTCTTCCTAGCCACTTTCTTTACCCAACTTCCCTCTTCCCTATCCAGTGGCCCTCCATCGCCCACCAAAGGAGACGTACGCATGAGACGTCAAAGCCAAATATCACAAAAAACAATAACTCAGTACTCACTGCAGTGAGTGACGGAGAGCGCATTTTCTCGTCAACGAAAACGTGGTCACGGACGGACAGACAGACGGACGGACGGACACGGCGAGCACAATAGTGCATTTTTTCCATAAATTAGAAATGCGATAAAAACAACGCGAGTCACAAAAATAGCTGGCGCCCGAGGGCTTACTAGTCTCCACCTGATGCTACTAGGGACAAAAGAAGCGTTAACTAGCCGAGGCACAGAGCAAGCCTCATAGCATCTCGAGTCTCGAGCAGGGTCTTCATTTATTTCAAGTGTGCGGTACAACATTCCGACTTATCTGATTCTTAGACTAAATAAAGTTAGCGCGAAGGTAGTGACGGAGCAGCCGATTAATAGCATAGTTCAATTTAGCTTAGCTCAAAATATCAAAGCCTAATCAACAAGCAGAAATCACAGGGAAGTTCAAATTACATATCAGATGCATATCATTAACTTATTAAGAGTCTATTGAGACATCGTGACTGAGACCAAGTTGACACGCTTGCAGATGTTGAATAAAATTGTTGATGTTGTTTAGTGGGTGAAAGCGCTTCAACATAGGCCAAATAAACAATAGAACACCAATGTTGCTTTACGAGAATAGCATAAAAAGCTTGGCAATTTAAGGGCATCATGTGTTGTGCTGTCACCCCAAGCCACAAAGGTGCCACCTCCGCAGAGTAGGTTTTGCCTCCCACCAGACCTCTAGCGTTGGAATAACGTTCGTCTGCATACAGGGCTGAGTGCCGCCACTCCCTGAGTTGGTACAGCCTAAATCTACAACGCAACAGAAATGTTGTTCATTACAAGAGAAATCTCCAGCAGAGTTGGTGTAGCCTCCCACCAGGCATCTAGCGTTGGAATAACGTTCATTTGTATAGAGAGTTGGATGCCGCCACCCCTAGAGTTGGTACAGCCTAAATCTACTAGTCAACAGAAATGTTGTTTGTTACCCGAGCAACCTCCCGCAGATTGGTGCAGATTCCCATCAGGCATCTAGCGTTGGAATAACGTTCATTTGCATAGAGGGTTGGATGCCACCACCTTCAGAGTTGGTACAGACAAAATCTACAACCCAATAGAAATGTTGTTCATTACAAGAGAAATCTCCCGCAGAGTTGGCATAGCCTCCCACCTGGCATCTAAGGTTGAAATAAATGTTTATTTGCATAGAGGGCTGGGTGCCCCTACCTTCAGAGTTGGTACATTCTGTCTTTGAATTTTGACTTTTAAAGTGATTTTATTCATGTTTAGTTAGTCGAACTGACGATGGAGCTGGACTCCAAAACGTTTTCAATATCGATATGGTGAATTTTCTTGGCGTTTTCTTTGCCGTAAATTCCTTGTACAGCCTAAATCTACAACACAAAAGAAATGTTCGTTACCTGAAGAAGTCGGGGTATGGGATGCGGAAGCGGTCGTCGGTGTAGCCTTCGTCGACTTCGAATCTCTCTTTTGCCCAGCAGCCGGCCAACTCCCCCTCATAGAACTGCCCATACATTGTCATCATTTATTGTTCTGCTGCTAGAATATTGTTCAAGAGTGTTTCTTTTTAGCGCATTTTCTCATTTATGGAAAAAAATGCACTATTGTGCTCGTCATGTCCGTCTGTCTGTCCGTGACTTCATGTTTTCGTAAATTTTGAGAAAATGCGCTCTCTGTCACTCACTGCAGTGAGTACTGAGTTATATTTTTTATGTTTGAGGCTAAATAGAAGAATTTTTACCCCTCAATCCATAAGAGAAAGATTGGTTCATGTTTCTCTTTGAAGAATTTTTACCCCTCAATCCATAATAGAAAGATTGGTTCATGTTTCTCTTCTAGCTGAAATAAATGATGAATATGATCACCAGTACAGGAATATTTTTTGCACATGCAACGTCATCATGTTTTTAGGGCCATTAATTTGATGCATATTAGGGGTTAACCAACATATATGTGGTTATTGATTACGCTAAATAACAAATTCTACTGAAATGATACAATACCATGATAATCTATAGTAGACAGGCATTGTAGTGCCCACTAATAATGCTCACAGAATAATATAACTCAGTACTCACTGCAGTGAGTGACAGAGAGCGCATTTTCTCGTCGACGAAAACGTGAAGTCACGGACAGACGGACGGACAGACGGACGGACAGACAGACGGACATGGCGAGCACAATAGTGCATTTTTTCCATAAATGAGAAAATGCGCAAAAAAAGGATTAATTAGCCGGCAATAAAAAAATATATATTAAAAGCAGACAAAAAATACATTAAAAAATAGGAAAGAAAAAACATAAGCTAGCTGTACCAATCAATTACACTCAGAAAAATGAATGTCGCATTGACCAAATAGTGACATTTTCTGCATGCAGCTCTGATATATCGTATTTAAAAGCCAAACTGGATCAGGATAACCCACACAGGAAAAAATAAAAAGTACATCATTTGTGTGCACATGGCAATAAATGCTAGTATTGGGACGAAGTCTCAATCATTTCTGTATAGATACCGTATTATCAGTGTGTGAACGATGAACTTCGTTCACTATTAGCCGTGTTCATTTTTATCTTGTGGGCATACCAACAGCCACATCTAGCGTAGCCGCCTTGGTAACATTGATGTCCGGACCTTACTTGGGCGGTAGCGACGTAGTGCAAGGTCAGGTCTGAGCGGCTGTGAGTCAGGTAGTCAGTAAGGGCAGGTCTGAGCGGCTGTGAGTCAGGTAGTCAGTAAGGTCAGGTCTGAGCGGCTGTGAGTCAGGTAGTCAGTCGTGTCCCGCCAGCTCTAAAGTGAGGTTCATACCTGAACTCGCCTCGCTCCGTTGCTCCACTAGCGATCTTGTGCCCTAGCGCTAGTTCTTGTGGCTGTGCTATAAACGCTTCATCAAACGGTTTAATGATTCTCGTGCTGGTTGTACTATTTTATTCAACGTGTTGATTTTAAGTTTTCTTTACTGGAATAAAAGGCAAGTTTTACTTGTGTAACCGAAGTTTTAATGAAAGAAATCCCAGTGCAGTTGAACTTTTTACAAGATAGTTACCGGCATTTGGCCGTAAGGGCTCTGATCGTTCTGACAAGTTTAATAGTTGCGGCAGGCGTCCGGTGACAAGTGTATATAGATAGATACCGTATGTACATATAGTGATATACCGCATATGGATACCGTATGTCTGTATTGATATACCGTATGTAGGTACATATAAGGTATATAGATGCCGTATTTATGTATAGAAATACCGTATAATCAGGTCACATCAGACTAACCTGCATGAGGATACTCTGCGCCTTGTCCTTGTCAGACTAACCTGCATGAGGATACTCTGCGCCTTGTCCTTGTCAGGCTAACCTGCATGAGGATACTCTGCGCCTTGTCCTTGTCAGGATGGTTGACAAACTCGGGCAGTTTGTAGCCGTGCAGCGCCACTACGCCTCCTGCACACATAACTTCATATCTCACCAGTGGCATATTTAATGGGATGTTTGATGTTTAAACGTGTTTAAACAAATACTTAATTTGATGATCGGATCAGTGGTATATTTAATGGGATGTTTAAACGTGTTTAAACGAATACTTAATTTGATGATTGGATCAGTGGTATATTTAATGGGATGTTTAAAGGTGTTTAAATGAATACTTAATTTGATGATCGGATCAGTGGTATATTTAATGGGATGTTTAATGTTTAAATGAATACTTAATTGATGATCGGATCAGTGGTATATGTAATGGGATGTTTAATGTTTAATCAAATACTTAATTGATTATCAAATCAGTGGCATATTTAATGGGATGGCGGCAATACCAAAGTGAAGAAGATATAGAATTCCAACAGATGAATTGCATACAAATAGTAGGTAACATAATGCCCACGAGATCTAAGATCAATAATGATGTCTGCTTCCTCTGTTGAAATGCCAAGTTAATATAACTAAAGTCTGAGGGATTTATCAGCCTCACCAGCCACCAAGACCTGATCAGCCTCACCAGGCACCAAGACCTGATCAGCCTCACCAGGCACCAAGACCTGATCAGCCTCACCAGGCACCAAGACTTAATTTGATGATTGGATCAGGGGCACATTTAATGGGATGTTTAATGTTTAAACGATTACAATTTCATGATTGGATCAGTGGTATATTTAATGAGATGTTTACTATTTAAACGATTACCTAATTTGATGATTGGATCAGTGGCATATTTAATGGGATGGCAGCAATACCGGAGTGAAGAAGATATAGAACTGCAACAGACCAAGGATCAACCAAGATATAGGTTTTTTTATAAGCAAATGTGATTAATTTTTTTATAAAGAACCTCCATGAGAATCAACATATCAACAGCCATGCCAACAATGAATTGCATATATACAGATCAACAATGATGTCTGCTTCCTCTGTTGAAAATATAAAAAGTTAATACCGTATATAAAATACCTATATATAATATATATAAAAGTTAATATAACTAAAGACTGAGGGATTTATCAGCCTCACCAGGCACAAGACATTCTCAGCCTCACCAGGCACCAGGACCCGATCAGCCTCACCAGGCACCAAGACCCAATCAGCCTCACCAGGCACCAAGACCTATCAGCCTCATCAGCCTCACCAGGCACCAAGACCCAATCAGCCTCATCAGCCTCACCAGGCACCAAGACCCGATCAGCCTCACCAGGCACCAAGACCCGATCAGCCTCACCAGGCACCAAGACCCGATCAGCCTCAGCAAAGAAGGCAGGAAGGTTGAACCAGTGGCAGGCCTGGCAGGAGTTCACGAGCTGCACCGAGCCTGCCTCAACTGGCAATTTCTCAGCCTCACAAACTCTGCAAGAAATAAATTTATGAGTTGGATTGTATACTAAATAGCCCAACACTGCAGAGATGTAAAAAAGCTAAAAATTTTACTAAATAGCCCAACACTGCAGAGATGTAAAAAAGTTAAAAAATTCTGAAGAAGTAAATTAAAAAAATTCTTCTGAAGTAAAAAAACCTTGGAGCAAGAAAAAAATTTACCAAGGGCACATCAGAGCTGCTGGAGTCACCCAGGGCATTTGATTAAGGTTTTAGTTATTTTGTAAGCTCAAAGTTATACTTCAAAGGTTAAATCAAATATTATAAATAATACTATACATTTGATTATATAAATCACAATGCAACAATATTATTTTCAATAAACAACACTTCCTAATACCATAAATTCATATTTTCATTATTTTTCATATTCATAACACTTCATAATACCATATTATATTGAACATTATCCAATTTTAATCTCTAGCGGATAACAAATTCTAGCTTATATAGAACAAAGAAAGCACAAACATGAAATCCAGGAAAGCAAACCAAGCTGTGGTGTAAATTGATAAATTTTACTGTCCAAGATCAGACTGATATTTAAACTGAAATAAATGGCATAGCAACGCACTGATAAGTAACATTGCTGGGCTTCTGCGCATCTTGAGCTATTTGAATCTGAGCAGGCGACACATCAACGCCCACAACTCTTTTGAAGTGCGGGGCCAGACAATGGGTGCTCTGACCGGACCCACAGCCAACGTCAATACAGCAGTCATGCTTCTCACTTGGCAGCTGGAAGAAAAAAAGATTTTAGGACATAAAGTTCATGTAGATAAATATAATAAAGCTTTAATCCAAAGCAGTGCGGGGCCAGACAATGGGTGCTCTGACCAGACCCACAGCCAACGTCAATGCAGCAGTCATGCTTCTCACTTGGCAGCTGGAAGAAAAAAAGATTTCAAGACACAAAGTTCATGTAGATAATAAAGCTTTAATGCAAAGCATCTAGGTTTTGATGCTTGCACTGTTTTAGGTAAGGAAAATCTCTCCAGAACTAAACAATAGTTTCTCTTCTATGAGAAAAGTTTCATTGAAAAATTAAAGATGATTTTGAAACCACATTTGAAAATGTAAGCATAATGCAATCATACTGACAAACAAAGCATGATAAATAAATGTACCATCAAATGGGGTAATATGGGACAAATTTAAGCTTCTTTCATTAATAACTTCTTACCATGAAACATTTCATAGGAGTTTGGGCTCATTGCAAAGGCCTTTGCTGGGGCTATCGCATAGCATCTCTGAAAAAATTCCATATATACCTATGCTATTTGTAAGGTGCCAGACGCTAAGGAACAGTGTCCCAAATTACCACTGGGAACAGGGTAATTCAGGATGCTTGAAATAAAATTTAATTTTAAAATGTTTGAAGCATGCAGATTGTACTCATCCATTACTAACAGTACTCTGAATTCCTCCTCTTCCTTTGTAGATGATGTAGATGTAGAATAAATGACATTTTCTGTGATTTGTACTTGCTTTTCCTGTATTGATATATTGCCATGTATATATATTACCATATTATTGATGTGATATTACCGTATCCATGGACATGTTATTGAGCATTTACAACAACCTTGTCCACTGCAAGCTTCATATCAGCAGCTGTATAACATTTCTTCTGTACCTGAAAGCTTACAGGACTGGGCTTATAATATAACAATTTTTTAATTGGTTCAATTGAATTCACTATAACAAAATAAGATCATAAAAACATACCTGAAACAGAAAGGAATATTTTAGTGACAACCATCATATTTTTTTTAGAGAAATAAATGATAGTTTAGGTTCATTACTTTTCATTCTATGTTGCCCAATGCACAATTCTAGCTATGATATTCTATGCACAATTTTGTGGTAGCTGATGGTGCATTAATTTCTCATTAGGTGAATTTTTTGCTGATGAAGGTAAAATCAAAATTCTTTGTTGTTAATAAATTTTTTGGTTAACTGGAGCCTTCGCTATCCAAGGTTCTAATGTAAATGCATTTTAGGGGGTCCTGTACTTATGCATTTTAAGGGGTCCTACGTACAGGACCCCTTTAGGGGGGTGTCCCTTATTATCCCATCATGCGGAAATGGCTGGCCATGCGACAATATTTCTTCTTGCTTCAAGTCACTGACATGTGGAACAGCCTCCCTGATAGCATTGTTGACGCTCCGAGTATGAATGCCTTCAAGAACAGACTAGATGAAGCTATGCAGGAGCATATGTTCAGTCTTCAAATGCCTAGCATCTTACGTACCAGGCTAAAGTCCAGCAGCTATCTCAATCAATCGTCAGTTATGGAATGATCGGGTTACAAAGGCCGGATCCATTGTGAATCAAGTCACGAAAAATTCAAGAATCGGCAACAGGCCATGGGCCTATTTCTTCAGTACCGACACTTTTATTCTATTTTGTTTTGCATTGAGGTACTAAAATTTTGTCAATGAAGTTTTAAAGCTGACACATGTCTGCAACTTTTCTTCAAGCCAAATTTTTTGATATGGCAAATATTTTTCTAATGCAGACCTTAGCACAAGTACTTTTTCAAAATATCACTTTTCAACATTTTTTTTCAGGGATTTTTTAGAACCAGTAAATGTATGATTTCTTAACTTCCATTCTGCTACATAGATAGGAAAAATGTTGAAGTTTACACCACTATTTTTAGTTTTGCAATATTTCAATTAATTTTGCTGCTATAACATTTTATGCCATGGTGGAGGACTGTCCTAATTTACCCCACCTGTCCCTTATTACCCTATTTGACAAATTTGTTATAACTAGAATAGATTTTAATAATTTATTAAAAGATTTCAAGCAAATTTGTTGATTATATAAATGATTAATCATTGATATATTCATTTTGTATATAAAAATTTGCAAAGTATTTCCTTACCTTAATCCTAAGTAGATTAATAATAGACAAAATGAGAGCTGAAGAAGGCACAGGCCGGAATTTTGCATAATCCAGTGCACGTTTTGCACTTACAAAATATTGCGAGGTCATGACTCATGACTAAAAAATTAAACCTATTCTTAACAAGCTGCAAAAAAGGAGTTATTTAAAAAATACTAAAAGCTAGTAGTTTGGAGTAGACAAATTTGACATAATTATATGTGGCAACACACATAATTATTTGTACCCATATGGCAAGATACAAATTACACATAACTATACATGGCAACACACATAACTATATATGGCAACACACATAATTATATATGGTAACATACAAATTAGACAAAACTATACATACATGCCAACACAGTTATTCATGACAACACACAAATTAGACATAACTATACATGGCAACACACATGACTATACATGGCAATACACATAATTAATTATATATGGCAACACACAAATTTGACACAATTATGTGTGGCACCACACAAATTTGACATAATTAAACATGGTAACACACAAATTTGACACTGTAATTATACATGGCAACACATAAATTTGACACAATTAAACATGGTAACACACAAATTTGACACTGTAATTATACATGGCAACACATAAATTTGACACAGTTATACATGCCAACACATAAATTTGACATAATTATACATGGCAACACACAAATCAGACAATTATACATGGCAACACACAAAAACTTAGCTGTTGGCATGACAATTAAAAATCAAGCAGATAAACAGAAAATTCTGACAATGTTCAGAGCATAAATTTAAAAAATAGCTCCATTGGCAATTAGGTAAACATTGGTTTTAATTTAGGAAAATTATTCAGAACATGAAGTTACTTATCTTCCAAACGATGCAAGTACTTTTCCATAGAATCGTCATTAAGTAGAAGTACAAGACTGCAATGAGCTATTTAAATGGTAAACTTTTGTGTTACTTTCTGGACATTATTTCAAGCAAATAAAAAACTATAATTTTCATTTTTTTCCTATTACCTTCAAATCCATTAATTTTTACCTAAATTTTTCTACATTTTCGTCCTCAAAGTTAAAGGTCATATTTAATTTTCCTCTAAATATCTCATTAGCTACTATCTTACAGAACTCATTTTGTTTTATAAGGATGTGCCAAATATTTTCTTACCTTAGTATTCAGGAAATTAATAATAGATGAAATAAGAGCTGGACAGGGCGTAGGTCGGAATTTAGCATAATCCAGTGCATGTTTTGCACCTTCAAAATAACGTGATGTCATAATTGGGAAAGAAAGCTATTCTTGGTCTTGATAACTGCACAAAAAGAGAGAAGCAGACAATAAAAAATTCTAAAACTAATAACTTTTACTTAGCTTTCAGTAAGAGACAAAATCCTACCACCAAACGGAATACCTAATAAGGGACGGTTTTGAGCGTCTTTCATTAATAACTTCTTACCATGAAACATTTAATAAACAAGTTTGGGCTCATTTCAAAGGCCTTTGCAAGGGCTATTGCATAGCATCTCCAAAAAATTCCATGTGCTATTTGCAAGGTGCCAGACACAAAATAAAAGCATCCCTAATTACCCCTGGCCCTGGGAGGCTGGGAACGGGGTAAACCGGGACACTTGGAATAAAACTCAATTTTAAAACGTTTGAAGCATGCACAGTGTGCTCATCCATTACTAACAGTACTGGAAGCAGGCTAGAATTCTAAGAATTCTAAGGAAGTTCACTGATAAAAAGCTGATACCGTTACAGCTGATTTCCTGAGATACAGTGCTCTGCCCGGTGACTGAATATGAATGAAAAGGAGGATCAAAAGTGGACAAACTGTTTCAATTGTATAGTACCTCAGATTTGTAATAGAATTGTTTGGATGTCTCTTGTTTGATTGATATATTTTTTTATTTTCTTATTTAATGGATTTTTTTTTTAATGTCCAGAATCTTTGTTTGCAATGATCAAGTTTAAGTTAAGTATGTATTGTATTAAGTTACATATACCATATTTGGGGGCGCCACTAATTAATGATATTTTTATGATTTATTCATCATTTTCAAGCTCACTTATATTGTGGTTTCAAAACCATGAAGCTGGAATATATTCTGCCCTTTGATAAATTTATTATTTTATACCATTCATATCTAAAATTATCTATCAGCCTATCAGGCATACCAGTTTCTCCCACAGCACCAACTTGCAGTCAAAATTTCAATCAAATATTTTATTTTAGTTAGAAATGAAATAAATATGTACCAGTGTAACCTAAAGGCTACAACTCTATAAGTTGAAGTAGCCTAGGCTTAGTAGGCTACAACGCCCTACAAGGCTACACCAGCGGGCCATAGTGACAAACCAGAGATTTTTTAGAATCAGTTCATTTTTAATTTCCTCATTTATGTACCCAAGATTTAAACCTATTTCTTATTTATGATAATGCTGGATTGCTGGGATGTGGTATCCAGGAATCAGGATACTTTACTCAGTTACTGGTCTACTTATAGGACAGTTTTTTTAGGACTCAAAAATAAACTTGAGGGAGTGTCTAGAAAACTCTCTGCATTGCCACTAGCCACTAGGTACCTATGCTTTTTTTTTAGCTAGGCTACTTTTATTCCACTTAAATTCATTATTATATGGAATTTTTTTGCTCCAGATTTTTTTCTCCTTTCAGATCATATATTTAATTTTCATTACGATCAAAGAAATTTTTTTTTGTGCACATACCTACTCTAGTCTGGGGCCGGGGAGAAACAGAAAGCCAGTCGAATTTATAAAGAATTAGCTAACTTGACGGATTATTCTTGGTAATTAGTATAAGCATATTCTTCGAAAACAATTTCACCGTTTTTTAGAGAGCTAAATTCTGCTCAAATGACACAGGACGTTCGCCGTGAACGAAACTGTCTCCATTCTTCAACCGCGTTGGCCGCCGGCGGTGCTGGGTGCGCAGCCGTAGACCAGCAAATTACGGTTTAATTACCTCTTAAATCAGCTCTGGGGCCAAAATCAACCATCTAAATGCTATAGATATTGTCATCCAGGCACCTAAGCAACCTGGCATGCATCCCCCGACGCTGACAGCCGGCGACTGATTAATATCAGTAATTTGTGGACGGAATTTTTTCAGATTTTTACACTAATAACTTTTTTATTAATACGGAAAACCTAACTTCATTTTCAACTCAAACACCCATAAATCTGTCAATAATGAACAGATTTTATTCAAATTTTGAATATAAGTAGATAATATCAGTAATTTGTGGACAGAATTATTTCAGATTTTTACATAAATTACTTTTTTCTAATGCCACAAAATACTGAGATTTGACCTGACTAGGACCTAACCTGCGAGGTGAACGTGAAGTTAGGTTTTCCGTATTAATAAAAAAGTAATTCATGTAAAAATTTGAAAAAATTCCGTCAACAAATTACTGATATTATCTACTTATATTTAAAATTTGAATAAAATCTGTTCATTATTGACGAATCTCATGTGGCTCAATACAGGTTTTTGCGAATTGAAATGAGACATTTATGAGTATATGGTCTTAAATGTGTGCTAATTTGAAACAGAGCACAAGGAAATAATAAAGTATTGCCTGTGCAACATCTATACTTACTCCAAACAGCTGAAAGACACACCCGGTCGGTAATGAGTATGATAATAATAACAGCATAAAGCACATTGGTGGCTACAGAAATTTTTTATATGCATATCAGTCATGCATGCTTATATACAGAATACAGCTGATACTTGCCTGACACAGACACATCACAGAGCAGATCTAAGATACTTGACTAACACACTACACGCAACAGAGCAGATCTATAATACTTGACTAACACGTATACGTAACAGAGCAGATCTAAGATACTTGACTGACATATACATGAAACAGAGCAGATCTATAATACTTGACTGACACAGAAACGCAACAGAGCAGATCTAAGATACTTGACTGACACATACACGCAACAGAGCAGATCTAAGATACTTGACTGACACTTACACGCAACAGAGCAGATCTAAGATACTTGACTGACACATCCACGCAACAGAGCAGATCTATAATACTTCACTAACACACACACACGTAACAGATCTATGATACATGACTGACACATACACGCAACAGAGCAGATCTAAGATACTTGACTGACACTTACACGTAACAGAGCAGATCTAAGATACTTGACTGACACATCCACGCAACAGAGCAGATCTAAGATACTTGACTAACACATACACGCAACAGAGCAGATCTAAGATACTTGACTGACACATACACGTAACAGATCTAAGATACTTGACTGACATACACACGTAACAGATCTAAGATACTTGACTGAAATAAACTCATATCTTCGTTCCCTCACGCGTTGAAGTAATGACTTAAGTTTTGAAGGCAAATGATCCTTGCCAAGTTAGTGAATCAAAACTTGCAGCGTCCGAGCCTCTTATTGCAGAGAAGGACTCGGGACTTCCGCCTCATCAGGACCAGGTTACAATTAAAGGAACATTCTTATTTACTGCTGAAGTTTGGTTACGGTTTCAGTATTGATTGAATGGGGGATTTGACTGGTATTGATTGAATGGGGGAATTCTCATGTTAGAAGAGTGGCTGAAGACTGACAGAGCGTCTTTAATAAGGCAACGTGGCTGAATTTTTTCGTTGAATAAAGTTTACATGAAAGAAAAGGATATATGATAAATAGAGCTCTGATAATTTCAAATTTTCAATTCCAGTGCACAGCGGCGCCACGGAGCAGATGATTTCTAATTATTTAACTTGATTTGATTTTTATTTATTGAATTTAGTTTTTAATGCACGCTTGTGCATTTTATTTTACAAATTAGTTGTAATCCGGAACTTATTTTTTTATAAGTAGAGGGTAAAATATGTGCTCATTTCTTCGCTTTGCAATTCCTGATACGCCCTTGCACCGGGCCAAACTGGGTCTGGATGACCCACACAATTGTATAAAGTGCATTCTTTTCCGGACAAAATTCCATTAATTTATTTGAATGTATGGATTACGTAAGAGTCTTTGTGCTAGCATCCAGAAAAGTTTTATTATTTATTTAATTTCTAAACTAAAACTCTCTGAAGTGCGCTTCTTCGAAAATGTTTCATCTCTCCCAGGCTTCACTTGTCCATGTAAGACACTATGTTCCACTGTTTGGTGATTCACTATAAACTATATATTATTTATAAACTATGTATAAAACGTAATGATTAAAAATTACTATTGTTCATCTTATTTCAGATTTCCACTATAGCAACCTTTTCCATTCTTTAAGAAACCTGACATTATAACATTTGAGCCCAAACGAATGTCCGTAAATATCCCCGAAACATTCGACACCCCGACGAATGTCCGTAAATATCCTCGGGACATTCGACACCCCCCGACAAATGTCCGTAAATATCTCGGGATATTCGACACCCCCGACGAATGTCCGTAAATATCCTCTGGACATTCGACACCCCGACGAATGTCCGTAAATATCCTCGGGACATTCGACACCCCTGTAGCGGCGCTACAATTAAGCAATTGTAGCTGTAGCGGTAGCGGCGCTACAATTAAGCAATTGTAGCTGTAGCGGTAGCGCCCGCTACATTTAGAGCACGTAGCAGTAGCGGTAGCTGCCGCTACATTTCAAAGGCTACTTTACTGCCCAGCTCAGGTAATAGATCGATATTGGGACAAGGTCCCACTTATTTTTCTTAGATAATGGTCAGTTGAATTCGTGCTCTATCATAATAAATATTATAAACACAATCTTAACGAAAACCATTATAAAAATTTTGCAACGCGCTTAAATTTTTGCAGTTAATTATTGACAGTAATTAATGCAGAGTCAAGTCAGGACAGATTCACTGTAAAAAATAGATTATTTATTAACTGCGTTTTAAATTGAATGATAAAAAGTTAATATTGTTCATCATATATCAGGTTTCCACGACAGCAAAAAAATCTCTCTTTAAAATTTAATATAGTAGTTTACCCATATATAAGACTTCAATTAGATTAATAAATGTACAATTTTGAATTTAATAGCATCAATTTTTCCCTGGACGACTAAATATTCATCGTAAAAATAAATAGTTTTATGAAAATATTTAGTAATCTTCCAGCACAGATATAATCCTCGTGCTGAACCAGCATCATATGACATCAACATTAATTTTTACTCTTGAATGCTGCATTTTTTTCACTTCAAAATGACGTCTGTTATTTCACTTCAAAATGAAGTCTATAACCAAATGAGTGGACGCTGGCCTTTTGACCAGCGCAGTTCAACTTCAAATTGCCTCTAAAAAAGTGTGTCGATTGGATGCATTTTTGCGATTGGAAGTCGGAATTTGCATTTGGGCTTCGGCCTGCAAATGTTTTTTCGAATCGAGAAGCAAAAATGTCGCTCGATGAATACCAATGAACGTTCGAGTGTCAACACTCAGGCTAGAATGAAACGCGGAGCTGTCGAAATTAGAACTGACATGACAACACCTGGTAAATAGTTAGTCGTTTTGCCAGTCATTCTAGTCGCTTGTTAGTCATTCTAATCGTAGTGTTAGTCTCATTAGTCGTTCTGTTAGTCATTCTAGTCGTTATGTTAGTCATTCTATTCATACTGTCAGTCATTCTAGTCGTTCTGATAACCATTCTAGTCGATCTGTTAGCCTCGTAAGTCGCTCTGCAAGTCATTCCAGCCGTTCTGTCAGTCATTCTAGTCGTTGTTAGTCCTTCTATTCGTTCTGTTATATCATTCTAGTTGTTCTGTTAGTCATTCAAGTTGTTCTGTCAGTCATTCTAGTCGTTCTGTTAGATCATTCTAGTCGTTCTGTTAGATCATTCTAGTCGTTCTGTCATTCGTTCTAGTCTTTCTGTTAGTCATTTTAGTCATTCTGTTAGTCTTTATAATGGTTCTGTTAGTCTCGTTAGTCGTTCTACAAGTCATTTTAGTCATCATGCTAGTCGTCATGCTAGTCTTTCTCTGGTCAAGCATTGCCCGTATTTTTCGTTGATAGCGACACGATGTACAAATAAACCCTTGAAAAAATAAATACATTCACCTGTACAGGTAAGTGTCGCACCTCTTCGATCCGTAGGCATTATATTTTGTTATTAACTTCAGAATATCAAAGAACGATGATTTAATGGGTATTCATGTTATACAGGGTGTTTCAGAATTAAGTAACCCTTTTAATTTGTTAATAAATAAAAAATTAAGAACGTTATGAAGTTGAAACTTGTTTTATTTAAAAGTTCAGGCTAGAATGAAAGGCAGAGCTGTCGAAATTAGAACTGACAAGACAACACCTGGTAAATAGTCGTTTTGTTAGTCATTCTAGTCGTTATGTTAGTCTTCTAGTCGTCCCGTTAGTCATTATAGTCGTTTTGTTAGTCATTCTGGTCGTTCTGTTAGTCATTCTGGTCGTTCTGTTAGTCATTCTAGTTGTTACGTTAGTCATGGAACTGACAAGACAACACCTCGTAAATAGTTAGTCGTTATGTTAGTCGTTCTAGTCGTTATGTTAGTCATTCTGGTCGTTCTGTTAGTCATTCTGGTCGTTCTGTTAGTCATTCTAGTTGTTACGTTAGTCATGGAACTGACAAGACAACACCTCGTAAATAGTTAGTCGTTATGTTAGTCGTTCTAGTCGTTATGTTAGTCATTCTGGTCGTTCTGTTAGTCATTCTGGTCGTTCTGTTAGTCATTCTAGTTGTTACGTTAGTCATGGAACTGACAAGACAACACCTGGTAAATAGTTAGTCGTTATATTAGTCGTTCTAGTCGTTATGTTAGTCATTCTATTCGTTCTGTTAGTCATACAAGTCGTTACGTTAGTTATGGAACTGACAAGACAACACTTGGTAAATAGTTAGTCGTTATGTTAGGTGTTCTAGTCGTTATGTTAGTCATTCTGGTCGTTGTGTTAGTCGTTCTAGTCGGTCTTTTAGTCATTCTAGTTGTTCTGTTAGTCATTCTAGTCGTACTGTTAGTCATTCTATTCGTTCTGTTAGTCATTTCAATCGATCTGTTA